AGCGAGCGAGCGGCTGTGTGGTGCTTAGTTGCTGGCTGGGGTTAAACCACGACAATTTGCCACTTTTCAGTTTCTTGAATTCACAATTACAGCAACAACTTTAATTTATTAGACTTCAAATTAAAATACAACTAAATGTACTCTTATTTCTTATGGCTTTGCTCCATAAAGAAGTAGTACAATTCAATCACTCTATACCAGTGTATAGGCAGATAGACAAGATGATACAAAACTTTTTCATCTCATTGGAGTGTTCTCCTCTATTGCCTTGGGGTTTTTTCTGGACCATTTATGAATGTGATACTGGAATTAAAAAGCACTGGGTTCCTACAGATTCTTCAGGCTGTAAAAAGACCATGGAGTCATTAATAGCTTGGTAGCTCGTCAGACTGTCTTTGGAGAAGGAGTTCATTGGGACGACAGATTGGAAAAAGGATATAAGCAGTTTGCGTGCCACTGGATTTTCTGGGTTCTTAAAAGTCTTCCTGTTTACTATTGCCAGAAAATCCAATAATGGGATGCTAAGGTGCTCATCCAAGAAATCTGGAGCTGTCAGAAGCTGATCCATTCACCTTGGAATGGCCAGACTTCAAGGCAAAACCATTCCTAGCTACGAAATGAGCAGTAACTTAAGTTTGCTTTGACTTCACTGGATAGCTTATATTTAATTTCTCTTGAATTCTAAAAAAAAAAAATGGGATCATTTGATCTCTACAGGGAAAAGAGACTGCAGTGGTGGCCCTACTGTACAGGGGTTTCTTCAGTTACAGGCTCTTTTTCTAACTGTCTACACCACGGACTGAGTCTCCACAGATTAGATTGCCTTCTTGCTGCCAGGAACAGGAACGTCTCGCCACTGACCCAGGCTGCAGCGTAGACACAGAAAACCAACAAACGCCACGCAACCCAAACAAAAGGTTAAAGAAGAGGAAAAGCGGTAGCAGCCTGGCAGAGCTCTCCAGGTTCCCTTCCCACACTGGAGTCCATCGCAGGCAACACCACAAGCGAACGACAGGACCTGCACAGCTGCTGCGTGGGCAGCGAGAAGGTACGCCGTCACCGGGAGGCTGCCGGCCACCTTCAGCCTGGACATGAGCCACCCCCAGCCGCACAGCGGGCTCAAACCGCGTCAATACCTGCCTGAGCGCCTCTGGGAGCTTGACCCGGAGCAAGCGCTTGACACAGAGCAAGCGGCAAGAGCTGAGGATGAATCAACAAGCTGCAGCCACGACGGCCTCCTTGTCTCCGCACCTGGGGGATGTCCTCCCGGCCGCAGGCACCATTCCCCTGCGGTCACCTATGCTTCATGCCGTTCAGTTCATTTCTCCCACATGGTCACTGGATGCACCAAGTAATTTCAAGCAGGAAACAGCGTTACACAGTTGGCTTGCAATCAATACTCTAAAAGTAACATGTAGAAATACATTAATAATGCAAGTACTACATAAAGAGAAATAAACCCATCCAATGGAGGTCTCTGCCTCCTTCACAAAAGCTTTCTCCTAAATATTGTCTCTTCTCCCCTTAAGCCCTCTTTTAAGCCACACCCGCCCGAAGCCCCGCTCCGGGCACGCCCTTGCTGCTCCACGGGCCTGGGGGGAAAGGAAGGCTGCGGGGTGCCTGCGCGGGCGGCGGCGGAGGCTGGCACAGGCACCACAGCACCGGTGCCTGCGGACAGCCCAGACCCGGCCGGACCGCGGGGGAGCAAAGGCGGCAGGGGCAGGGCGGCTGCTGCCGGCGCACACGGCTC